GCACCCAACTTTAGGTACAGCCGGTTGTATAATATAATTTGCGGCTCGGAGGTAGCGGCCTCAGACTTAAAAAGGACAAATTGAAATGATGAAAAAAATTATACTCCCTCCCTCCACCTAAGATCTTCCCATTACGTGTTACGAGGCTTGACCGACTTTATTTTTAATTCAATTTAATTGATTATAGGAGTAAAATTTTAAAATAAAATTTATATAGTAATAAACTACATGAAAAGTTCTACAAAACTAGAGGTGACAAGACTATATTATTTTACGAAATGACTAGTAAAAATGAGCAAACAAAGTGAGTGAAGTTTGACCCTGTGAATAGTAACTGGGAAGATCTATTGTGGATAGAGGGAGTATCAAACAAGTATTCAACAATACATCTAAAATCTTTCAAAAGTAAAGAAAAATGTTAAATTATTTTTTATCCCTGCAAAATTACTACCAGAATCTGTCATATCATACACGGGAATGACATCAACAAAAAACGGTTACCATAAAAAACTACAAACAACTATATAAAATAAAGGACCCTAGTTAATAATACGCGTATAATACACATATAATACTTACGTACTATACGTATGATACGCGTATTATATACTCACGTATTTGTATGATTTTCAAAAATAATTTTTAATACACGTACATTTGATACTATACGTATAGTACGTATCAATTGAATATTCATTATAAATTTTTTGTATACCAACAAATATTAATTTTTTCCAAAAAATATTTAAACAAAATACGAGTAATACTTTATATTAGTTATCTATAGGCAAATTATATTATACATCCGGCTATACCTAGAGATAGGTACAGCCGGCGTTTAATAGGGGCGAAAGGGAAGAAATCGGTGATGAAAGAGGCTAGCCGATCGGAAGTTTGCTAGAATTGAAGCCATCCGGATCTTTGATAATGTGCAGATCGATGATGATGATGATGTGCAGATTTGTTCTTCCGTTTGATTCTTGGGGTTTTGCGATGATGCAGTGATGAAGAAGAAGAAGGAAGACCAGGTTCTGCAGAATTGAAGACGCTTTTGGGATCCGCGGTTAGGGCATGAATGATGGTATATAGTTGAAGAATGAGTCTAGGCTATGTGAGGATGATTACTAGGTTTTAGAATGTATATTAGATTATTTGTAAATGAATATGTACAAATGTGTGAAAATGCATGAGTACTACGTTTTTTCAGAATGAGTAACATGGTTTTTAATTTCAAAATGAATGTTTATGTTGATGCCAAAATGAGTACTACTTAACATCAGAATGAGTACTACGTGGATGTACCTATCTCTAGGTAGATCCGGATGTACCATCACTTTCTTATCTATACAATACTTAATCAACTTTAAAAAATATATACTATCTATATTCTACAAATAATTTTACACTTTTTTGTCAAGTTCAAACAAGACTTCATTCTTTCCTTTTTGTCTGTCTAAAAAAATTCATTTTCTTTTTAGAAAGGAATAAGTGACTCACAACTCTTATTTGTTTTTTTATAAACATATTCAAACTATAAAGTTTTTATTTTTAACATTTTTTTTAAACTACATACGTGAAAGTGAAATAAGGATATTTTTCCTAATGAAGGGAGTATATATTTTTTTCAAATAAATATTTTAAATAAATAGAGATTCTAATTTGAAAAAAATATATAGTTAATATTTCAATTAAAAATATTTTTTTATTTTGTTTATTTAACCTAACTCAAACATAAGAGAAGTGAATATGTAATGTAGACAATCCACAATAGTCAACCCACTTCTTGTCTTACGAAGGATTTAGAGCATGTTCTTTAGGGCTTGAACTCTTACCTTCCAGTTTCTTCCAATTTTTTCTAGTTTCTTCCAGTTCCTTCCACTTTCTTCCAGTTTCTTCCAACTATTCTCATTTTCTTCAAACTTTTTCTACTCCTCAACCAATTACTCTAAAAACGATATATTTTAATAATAATAATAATAATAATAATATTATTATTATTATTATTATTACTACTACTACTACTACTACTACTACTACTACTACTATTATTACTACTACTACTAAAACTGTTATGTTCATAACTATAATTTATAAATTATTTTTTTCATATCACTATTTTTACGATTCACACTCGTTATATTTTTCTTCAAATTTTTCATATGAATATGACAATTTTTTGTATATTAGTCTACATGATAAAACAGGAAAACATCAATATGTTAAATTATATTAAAAATTATGGATAAAATAGTTACATTGAATGTTTTATTAATCTAATATTATATAAGATTTCTCAGCTTTTCCTTTATTACTTAAAATTTGCTCATTTTTCTAATTTTTATAAAAAAAAATTGTAAGTCAAAATAGTTTAGAGAAAAAGACTAAAATAGGAATAAAACATAAAAATGTAAAAAAAAGTTCTATGTATTTATTCCAAAAATAGGACTTCAATTAAAATAAAATACCAATAATAAAAGAAACAATAGGTTTGATTACATTATGTGACATGTCTGATATTTAAAAAAAATCTTATAATATATAAATTATAATTACAAATATATTATTTATAATAAATACTGCATAAATAAATTGAGATGCAATATAACCACAAAGACTTTTTAAAATTTAATATTTTTATATTTATGCTAGCTTTATATTATACTCCGTAATATTTTTCTTGCAAAAGTAGTTTTTTGTATTTAAAAAATAAAAATATTTTTGTTGTATCTTAAAGGCATTCATTAAGATAACATGATGATGATGATGATGATGATAATAATAATGATGATAATAATAATAATAATAATAATAATAATATAATAACAATAATAATAATTTATAACAACAAGAATTCAAAATAAATATTTTTAAAGTTTTGTTAGGTTTTCCAATTTTTTGAAGTTTTTCCAGTTTCTTCTTGTTCCTTCCAGTTTTTTCCAATTTCTTCCAGTTTTTTCTAGTTCCTTACAGTTTTTTCCAGTTCCTTCCAGTTCCTTACAGTTTTTTCCAGTTCCTTCCAGTTTTTTCTAGTTTCTTTCAACATCCAGCTCTTTTTTTCCAGTCCTAAAGAACATGCCTTAATGTAGTCTTTTAATGTATGAAATATAATTTATTTTAAATTTTCTTACCATTATGTAAATAATTTAAATTTGAAAATAAAATCAAGCAAGTCTTATTAATTATTCGTAATAATACAATAAATTTGGTTCTACCTTAACTTTTAACTAGCAACTCATAGTTGTTTCTATTAGTTATTTAGTTGCATCATATTCCTCAATTAGGATCTCTTGTGTAAGTTGTAAAAACAGAATTGGTAATTAGAAGAAAATTGGAATGAGTTAAAGGAACTATTTTATTTAACGTATAACAATTTTTTTTAAATAATTTATACTATTCTTTTTTCAGTATTTTTATCTCTTTTTATTTTCTTCTATGTGAGCTATTTTTGTCCTAAATTATTGTAATAATATTTGTGTGACTCACCCTCACTCTTATTAGTTTTTTCTTTTTAAAATCAATATCAATCGTATAATTTTTCATTTCTTAATTTTTTTGTCACTAATCTATGTATCAAATATTAGGAGACGAATTGAATGAAGCAACTTTTTATAAATCTTACAAATTCGATAATACTAATCTATGTATCAAATATTAGGAGACGAATTGAATGAAGCAACTTTTTATGAATCTTACAAATTCAATAACTCAGGTAAGACCCATTCTAAAGATAATATTATATTGACAGTTTGACACCATAAAACTAAGATAAATTTACCTAAATAGTACTAAAACATAGTGACTTTCCGAGTGAAGTACCATATATTTTTATTTTCTCAAAGTAATACTACTGGTCAATGTTTACTAGTCATTGTTCAAGTATGTCCACCGCCCTGGACATTGTTCAAGCTAATGTGTTTTTGCAAAAAGAAGTAAAACCCTTGTAGTCCATGAAAATAAAAGAAAATGTCCACATTTCATTATTGATTAAAATTTATCAAATATAACTTGAGAAAATCAAATTAAATGAATATATTGTTAAGGAATAAACCCGATCACGGATCCATGTATCTGGCACGTCCGTAAAATAGCGGGCTAGGGCTTGACATTTTAGGGTACGAGCCGGACTTGGTCCTTATAAATGGTGGATTGGTGGCTCGTATATTTTAGGGTCAGGCTTCGATTTTATGCTCAAGCCATGGGTCGAACCAAATGAATTAAAATATGTTTTATTAGTATAATTATAATAAAATAAGAATAATAACATTAATATTAATAGTAATAAAAAGAACAATACCATTTCAAATTATTATAAACATACACATTCTTCGAGAAAAAAGTGAATTATAAGTATATTTAATAAAATGAATATATCTTTATTCCTATGTATAGTTTACTACGTATAACACATTGATAATTATTTTAAAAAATTGTTGTGCAGACCGAGCCGGCCCGAAGCCCATGAGTATCAATGCGGGCCAGGCTTGGGCTTCAATTATTAGGCCCGCTATACAGGCCGGGTCGGACTCAAATCTAAAAAAAATTCTCTAAATGTTGCATCTCAACCTGGCTCGAAATCCGGCACAGCCCACACATTGATCAGCTCTACTAAGGACGGAGTAATTTACTTAAATAGGACTAAAATATAATACTTTCTCAATGTAGGACCATATGTTTTTATTTCCCAATGTAGAACCATATGTCATTATCCATTAGTCACTATTCGGGTAAATGTACACTATCAGTAGACATTATTCCTGTTACTAGACATTATTAAGTCCTATTTAGAAAGTCTTACATTAGAAAATGATTTATGTTTTAGTCTTATTAAGTGCAAATTTTTGTTTTTTTTTTGAGGAAATAAGCGAGGGAGTAATTAATTCTTCTTATAATCTCATCTCTATAAATCTCTCGATGACTTCGGAATTAAACAACCACCGTACTGCCCGTATTGTACACTCTTTGAATTTCTTAATTAATTAATGTCTCGTGTGCTCTTTTAGGAGTGAGAATGGGAAAAGCTACGAGATGGCTGAAACGGTTGCTGGCGATGAAGGTGAAAAAACGTTGGGCTTTTCGCCGGACGTCGGACAATGAGCCGGATTCCGGTGAAATCCCGGTGGACGACTATTATTCTCCCTGCAGGCTAATGACATCTAATTACGTCTTCCCACCTTCTGGTTCTGAGAAGTCGAACAGCAATCTGCCGGCGGCGAAACTTAACGGCGGCTGCAGAGGAAAAGTTGTGAGTTTGGCTGCTCTCCGAATCCAAACTTTCTTCAGGGGCTATTTGGTATTTTTATTTCCTCGTGCTTTCTTTTTTAAGCATTATTTACAATAAATATGTAAAATATGAATTTTTATGTTTTTGTTTAAAAATAAGAATTACAATGACAAAAATGTCAATATATAGTCTGAAAAAAATTGTGGAATGCCAACATACACATTTTCACAGTACAGATTTCTTTTTTAAAGATCGAAATAGGTTACGCTTATATTTTGGAAATAATGACTACTCCCTCCGCTCTCAAAAACACTTCTGCCCAAATTTTTTGCGCATCCTATAAAATATATTCACTCTACCTAAAATATCTAAAATACCTCCAAAATAACTTTTACCTATAATAAACTACATAATATATGATGCATTTTAGACATTTTAGCTGGAAGTAAAATTATTTCATGGAGTGCATAAAAAATAAGGACGGAAGTGTTTTAAAAAACAGAGGGAGTGTGTTTTATATTCATTCCGTATAAATTTCTTCATGTTTTGATTTTTTTAGTCAAACCGTGATACTTTTTGACCATACATTATGAAAAAGTATACTCCCTCCGTCCACAAATAAACTTTACATTACGCGTTACGATGTTTGACTGAAGTTATTTTCAAATCATTTTATATGAAAAATGGTGTAGAATTGAAAAATAAAAATTACATATTAAAAAACTATATCAAAAAATCTACAAAAAGGTGAGATGACTATATTATTTTATCAAATAGGTGACGAAAATAGGCCAACAAAGTGAATAAAGTTTGACCCTGTGAATAATGAACGTAATGTTTATTTGTGGACGGAGGGAGTATTTATTATGTAAGTTTAATTGGTTAGTTTCAAAAAAGTTTTACCCCTGAGTATATTCCAAGTTCTTGGCTTTGGTGCAGGCGAGAAAAGCACTAAGAGCTTTGAAAGGAATAGTAAAACTACAAGCTCTAATTAGAGGCTATATTGTTCGGAAAAGAGCCGCCGCTACTCTTTACTATTTGGAAGCTCTCATCAGATCTCAGGCGGCTGCCCGGTCGGAAAGGTCTCGCCGCCGTCTCTCACCCGTCGGCAAATGTGAGCCCACATCATACAACAAGCTGAATAAATCTTCAAGGACCTGGTGGAGGAGCACCACCGACGACGTGTCGGATTCCGGTGAAGATTACAATTGTCCCTACCAGCCGCCGTCTCTGACTCCGGGTCGCCTATCTATTCCTGACCGTCGCCGTTTATGCGAATCGGAGTGGAGATTTCTTGGCGGCGGCAGCGAGTGCAAGTTCTTGGCTGCTCAGAACTCGCCGCTACGATCTCGGCAGCGATATTCGCCGGGGAAGTGCGTCGGCGGGGATGCCTGGCTCCGGCCATATTCCGATTGCCCGGGTTACATGGCGAACACGCAGTCATTCACGGCTAAGCTAAGGTCTCTGAGCGCGCCAAAACAGAGGCCGGAGCCGAGGCAGAAGAAGGGGTTCTCATTGAGTCAATTAATGGACGTGAGGAGCAGCTTCGGCGGCGTCGGCGGCGGAGGAGCCCACGAGTCTTCTTGTTATCTAGCCCAACAAGAGTATGGATACTTGGGGCTTTGAAACTTCTTTTGTTTCCGATTTTCATTTGATTTTTTTCTTATTAAAGAAAAAATGGTAGTTATACAGTATATCCCATATCTACTCCATAAATCTCAATCCAACAATCATGATTGTACCCCTAGCATGTTTCATTAAAGAATGGTAAGGTCTTTTGTGTTAAATACGTAGTACACAAATTTAAGGCATAAAAAAGTGATGAGCTTCATCCTAAATCTTCAATACTTGACAAAAGATAAATAAAGAGAGTTTTAAGAAGATTATGTAGGACGGTGCTTCGAAAGTTAATTTGTATAATTAACTAAAGAAATTATAATACTCCCTCCGTCCCTTTAAACATGAGATGTTTTGATTTTGAAGAGATTTAAGAAGAGTTTATTTTGGTATTGAATTTCCAAAAAAGTCCTTTGATGTGATGGGTAAAAGTAAGAATTGATGGGTAGATTATTAGTAAAAAGGTATGATATGATAGGTAGGGTATGAAAAAATACGGGGTAAAAATGACTTTTTAATGGAAATAAGAAGTGTTTTTTAGGACGGATGAAAAAAGAAAGGAGAAATGTTTTCAGAAACGGAGGGAGTAACTACTAATACTAAAAGTATTTGTATTACTCCACTATGCTCAAAGATTTTTACAGTTCAATAAATTAATATAAATATTTTTATAATATTATAAAAATAAAATAAATAAAGTGAGAGGGGAGAGAACTAGGGTTTGAGAAAAGTAATTTCTTAATTCTTGATTGATATGTCAATAACTAGATACATTGGTATTTATAGCTAAAATATTTAACTAACCCTAATAATGATAAAATCCTAATCATAATAGAATTCTAATCGTGTCGGTTCAATAAAAGCATCAAGGTAAAGAACCGAAAAAAAACCTTTGAAGGAGTGTTATAATTTACTCAAAATTAAAAAGTAAATGTAAATATAACAATAATTAAACTATCTAATTAAACTATTAAAATAGCTAATGAACTAAATAATATAAATTATTTAGTAATTGTGTCTATATCATTACCACCCCGATAGAGACACACCTTGTCCTCAAGGTGTAAGTGGGAAAACAAAAGGTGTGCAATGATTGCATGCCATGTCCGGTGGAGGATCCCATTCAAGCTTCAAAAGAGGAGATGCAACCATGAACAAAAGAAATTATCCACTTTCGGACCAAGCTCTAGAATTTTGGCAAGGCAAAGAAAGAACTCCAAGCCATGTGAAGCGGGAAGGTGCCTCGAAAGAAACAGAATGCAGCCCGCTACCACCCTCAAGTAAAACATGACCCCTAGCGCCTTCGAACATGCCAGCCAATGGAAAAGCCCTCGGTTGCGAAACATCATTGGGCAACACAAACGGGTTTCCCAAGCTTATGTATCCTTGGGATTCCTTAGCACAATCATCAGAAACGATAACAGAAACCTCATCAGGAACACTTGTAGGATCAACAATATCTTTCTATATTGTCACGACGAGTATGATTTCTTCAATGGGTTCATGCAATTGCTCTTCTTTTGGTTGTTCAATGTTTGACATCCAAGCATTATAACGAATACATATAATGATAAAAAACCACGTTGGAAAATTTGGATCTGGTTGTCGCAGCTTAAAAAGGCTATTACAAAATAACCCACTTTTGTAATCACTTAGGGTCTCCCGAGCTTCCAAAAGAGAGAATGCATCATCAACGCATCGCGACACATCAAACTATTCCTGGCGGAGTGTGTGAATCTCAAGGGCGAGTTCATGAACCGCTAATCAAACATCATTTAGGGGAGCGGTGGCAGATTGTAGTCTCGCGGTAGGAGGGTTCTTTGCCATGTAAATCTAAACGGAGCGAAACTAAACACCTTGCAGTTGATCCTCAAATTTTAGCCCGACCACTTCATCAAAAGCGCACTTTATCAGTTTATCTGATAAAATTACAACGGTGGCTGGACAAACTAACCCAAAAAAGAGTCTGGACGGCGACTCCTTAATTAGGTTGCCGCTGATTATGTTGTATTTCCTCTCTTTTTTTTGGGGCAAGGATTCTGTATTCCAATTGTAAATCAATGAAGGGAAATTGCTTATTGTGGATTTTGGTGGAATGAAATGGAAGTGGATTCGCATGAAAGAAAATAATTAGGACGGTACTTTGCTTCCATTTGTTTAAGAACAACACGGCAACGGATGAAGCAGTGGTAGATCCGTTCTTCGCTGTGATTGTTTTAATGAATTAAGAGGTCACGAATGAAAGCACCAATTGATACGGTATCGTATCAAAATAGGGAACAGAAATTGAGAACTTAGGTGAAGGAGATGAAGAATTTGGGAGAAGAAGTGAGAAAGTCAAGGAGGGGAGGAAGAAGACGAGATTTGAGAGGGGGGAGAACTAGGGTTTGAGAAAAGCAATTTCTTAATTCTTGATTGATATGTCAATAACTAGATACATGTGTATTTATAGCTAAAATATTTAACTAATCCTAAAAATGATAAAACCATAATCATAATAGAGTTCTAATCCTGTCAATTCAATAAAAGCATCAAGGTTGATGGTGTAAATATAGCTGGGTGGGTTAACCGGGTTTGACCTGGACACACTCGACCCGAAGTAAAATACACACAACAAGAACACAAAGTATGACCTAGACCGGGTAAATCTCCTCAGTCCGAATTATATTTCTTACTCTACCTCAAGAGTGAACTTTTAGTGAGAGAAAAATTGGATCCCCTCCTCTATCCACAATCATCATATTTATAGAGCAGGATTTGTGACCTTCCCCTGTTCATCCATGAACAAAATAGGAAGCCCGTGGGAAGGTCACTGTAGTTAATTGAAGCACTGTACAATCATAGATTTTAATAGCTACAAGCCAAGACACTATTAAATCAAAGACTATGAATGGATATTCTCAATCCAATCAACCCTGCAAGATGACAAACATCCCTTTCACTGTACGCCTCGTGATGGATGAGCGGCGGGGTGTTCCCTCGGTCTTTGACGTGGTTCGCCATGCCTAAGAGATTGGACCCATGTTAGCCAAGTAACGTGTCATGACCGGTCACTTTTTCTCAGAGGCTACCCGGTCATTCCTTGAGTTCAACCCGTCTCTTCAGTCTTCCAGAAGATCCTTCATAACATTAGATGACAATTTGGCTATCGCCCAAAATGTGACCGGTCACTTTTTTGAGGGAAGTGACTGGTCAATTTTTGCCCCGTCCCAATCGAAGAATTGTCCTTATTTGGTGATCGAAGAAAGTGAGTGGTCATGTATTGACCTGTCCCTTTTGGTCATCCGGGTCGGGTATAAGGATATACCCATCAAGAAGACCTCCACTTACCGGCCTTGTGAGGAAATCATCAAGGGCGGGAAGTATATTTATGTTGACCTATCACTTTTGAAGTCATCAAGTCATTCCCCAGACCTGTCCTTCTTTAAAATCATCAAGTCATTCCCATGACCTGTCCTTCTTTGAAATCATAGAGTCATTCCCATGACCTATCCAATTTTGGAATTATCAAATCATTTCATGGCCTGTCACGTTTAGATCTGTCGAATACACTTCATGACCTGTCCTTTTGGATCTTTGGTAGCCCAAACGCTGGGCCTGGCTTTTGGGTTTTGGAGTTTCCCCCCGAAACCCTCCACCTTCGAAATTCAAAATTTGAATTTCCTCCCTCATCATTACCTTTTCCACGTGCCATCCCCTCAGCCTCCCACCTGTCGCCTCGAATTCCCACCCTCCTCTCTCTCTCCTAAAAATACCCTCCAACCCATCTCATTTCTTCACTTCTCCTCATCGCTCTCCCAACTTCAGTCGGTCTTCTCTCTCTCTAGCTTCCCACCAAGTAAGTGCTCCAGTCCTCCTAGTCTTTTATTTTTCCATCTTTTCATTTCCAGCCGGTGTCATAATGTCTTCTGACAGTCAAAACGTATCTGCCCAATCCTATGGGTCGGGCTCTCAGCCCTCTTTATCTTCTCACTCTGAATCTTCTTCTCCCCCTCCTACTCCATTAATTCGCCGCCCCTCCCAATAGTCTAGCTCTCAGGCCCGGGAAATAGTTGCCTAGGAGCCTGTCCCTTTGAACCAGTTGCCCGGTCGGTTCAATCCCAAGGTCCTTAGCTGGGATCAATGGGAAGAACGAATGGGATCACTGGGCTTCCTAGCCCTTGATGTCAGACCGGTTTTCAAAGAGTCTTCTAGGGTTACAAAGAAGGTTTTGGCCGAAGTCCGTACCATCCTACCACCGGGCTATAAAATTCTTTTTAAAACCACCTGGCCTAATATTATAGAACCCCACCAAGGAACCCGGTTGGGTTTCCATGTTGCTTCTCTGGAGGGAGGCATTATTTTTCCTGTTCGCCCCCTCCTCATAGAAATCTGTAAGAAGTTTCACATTCTTCCCGGTCAGCTTACTCCCAATGCCCACCGGTTCTTAAATTGTTTCATCAATATTTGTGTCTCTTTAAAAATTGAACCTTCCCTTGAGCTCTTGCTCGATATGTATGAAGTCTTGCCCGGGACTAGTAATTTCCCGGGCTTTGTTTATTTCCTTTCCCGCAATAAAAGGAGGTTCGTGACCGGTCTTCCCCCCAGCCATAAGAAATGGAAACGAAGATTCGTTTTCATTGAGTTTCCCTCTGACCAGTTCCCCTTCTCTAACCCTGAGTGGGCAGACCGGGTTATAAAACCTGAAAGGGTCCACCCGGAGCCCACTCCTGAGCTTGAGGACGCATGCGAGAAACTTCTCAAGGGTGATCTTGTGACCGGGAAGCCTTACGCCTATGGAGGCTGGGTGTACCAGTTACAAAATCCGGATGGAGGTGTATCTGTGACCCATGACGCAAAAGATGACCGGGTCAGTTCCCCGGATGGTCATGCCGAGGCCAGTTCTCCTCATCCAGGACGGTTAACTTTCCTTAACCTCTTAACTTTCATTTTTCTTTTGATATGTAAGGTGAAATATCTAACGGGTCTGTTTTTGCTTTGTTCTTTTTGGTAGACATGAACTTCACTTGGTTCGTTAACCTGGATGATGATGATGATGAAGTCCTTCATGGCGGCCAGTCCCCCACTAACAACCCTCCTTCCCCTCCTCAAAATCCTGGAATGGAAGGGGCTTCAACTGCCCGGTGCTCTTCCTTTGACGATATCATTCGAGATAAGCAGGTGAAGTCACCCTCATCCCTCCATTTCTCCGAAGGCGACCGGGCCAAATCCCCAATGATCGAGGTTAAGGCCAAAGGAAAAGGGACCGTTCATTCTTCTTCCCACACAAAAGCTCATAAAAGGAAGGGCTCCCACAACACTTCTAGGGAAAATAAGAAGAAAAAGACCGGGTCGCTTGACCTGGAGGGGGAGTCCGTTGAAGAGGCCTTCCTAGCCTTGACCAGAAGACTCCAAAAGGTATGCCATCTCTACTTTTTTCCCGGGCAACTATTTCCTCCACTCTAACTGACAAACTTCTTTTCCAGGTTGGAGTCCTTTCTGAAGAGATTGGCCAGTCACTCATCGAGCCAACCAACCAGGCCTCCCAACTGGATCTCCTGCTTGACTCGGCCAAATCAGAAATAAATGACCTGGTCAAGAGGGAGAGACGGTTAGAAGTAGAGCTGAGGACTAAGAGGGCCAAGCTTGAGGAGGAGAGGGCCTTGCTGGAGGAGGAGAGGGCCAGATCTGCCTGATTGGAGGAGGAAGGGAAGAGGAAGGTCGCTGAGGTTGAGGAGGCGTTGGCCTAAGTGGAAGAATCTGCCCAGTCTAAGGAGGAGTCCTTCCCTTCTGAAGCTGCCAACTGGTCCGCATGCCATCATTTGGAAGTTGCCCGATCCATTCTCACCTCTCCGGAGACAACCATGGACTTTTTCAAGGTCATGTACCAGAAGCCGGAGGGAAAGAGAATGATTATTGACATTGGGTCTTATGGATTCCAATGTGGCCAAAAGGAAGAAAGGTCTCTTCTCTATGCCAGACTCCAGAAGAGAGACCCTTCCTTTGACCCGGTCAAGGTGAAGCTTCCAGCTCGATATAAGGAAGAGCCAGTTCCCCCCTTTCCCCTAGAGCAGGTTAGGGTTTGATTTAAAAAACCTTTGAATTTTCCCAAGGCCTGGGAAAAGTCCGGCCTGATTTGACTTGTGTAATATTTAACTTTTCTTAGCATGCCTTTAACTTTTACCGGTCATATTTGCTTCCAATTGTATGGTTGAACTTCTTTTCTTGCATGGTTATTGTCTCTTGCATGATTGTTTTCCTTGACCGGTCACCTTTTGAAGTTGCTTGGTTATACTTGCATTTTCTTGAACATGCTTGATTTAACTTCCAAGTCAAAAACAATAACCGGTCTTATCCCTTGGGAGTTGTCCAGGTCATCTCATGTCCTGGTCTTTGAATAACGCCTTGAAAATGTCTAGGTCTGGTAGGCTTTGTTGAAAGCATCCAGGTCTTTTCATGTCCCGGTCAATTTCATCTCTTGAAAATGTCCAGGTCTTGTAATCTTGAAAACGTCCAGGTCTAAACCTTTATTTTCATCAACTCCATAAACGTCCAGGGCAACCTCACGTTTGGCGAGTCTTATAAGCCGGCTTACTTCTAGGTTGAACTGCAACAAACGTCCGGGTCATCTCATGTCCTGGTTTAGTAAGCCAGGTTGAAAGTTTTGAAGAGCATTTTAGATCTAAGGCTTGAAAACTTCTAGGTCATCTCATGTCCTGGTCTCCAGGTTGAAAACGTCGAGGTCACTTTGTTTCTGGCTTATCTTTTGATCCGGTTAACTTCCAGGTTGAAATGTAATAAACGTCTAGGTTAAATTCGTCTTGATCAACTTCCAATAGTTTGGTTGCGTTACGTCACCAGCATGACGTCAAATTTCTGTCTAGGTGTCGGGTCAAAAATGTGACCGGCCAAAACCAAAATTTTCAAACTTGCCTGATTTCCTCAAATCCAAATTTTGAAAAGTGACCGGTCACTTTTCTCAAAGTTGACCGGTCAAATATTAATTTTTTCCACTTGCCTTTTCTCATCAATCCAGAACATCCAAAAGTGACCGGTCATTTTTGACCATGCCATTTTTCTTATATCCATCTGACCTGGATGTCATGATCCACAGCTACCTTGATCTAATTTCAAACGAACATTCCAAAATGGTTTTCGTCTTAAGTCTCAACATCAAGACCTGATCTTTCTTTGGAGATTTTGACCATGTCCTATGGCCGCGAACCCTCTCCAAGGTTCAGCCGTCTTCCAGGCAACACCCTTCTTCCAGGGCCCCTCTTCCAAGTTTTAAGTCTTTTAATGTGTCATTCTCTAATCATTAGGTTGACCTAGCCAATCCAATCTTCCCACGTGGGGGTATGCTGGTGAGAACCAATCCTCATCCAATCCTACATGTCCATATGTTATGTGTTTGAAGTGAATTCTAGTCTTCCATAGACCCTTCAATCCGCAAAGGATGACTCATGCAAGACGGTATACAATTTTTATTTTGGCATCTTTTTGCCTCTATCCAAACGAAAATTTGGTAGGGATCCATGTAAGTATGGACGCGAGTCCTCTTCCAGACCCAGCCTATCTCAAGGCCATACCTCAACATCAAGGCCCCTATCTCAAGGGTTTATCTTTTTTTTGACCTTGCCTCTTACATCAAGACATGCTATTTTAGTATTACTGACCCAACAACAGAAGTATTGAAGAAAGCTCTTATTTATCATCGAAGGGTTGTTATAAATACAAGCCTTGCCAATTTGGCCTATCGGTAGAATTTTCTAAGGTGGTGGGAATTCTAGCACCTTTCTAACTCTCGACCTTCCATTGTTTCTAACTTGTATGTCCCAGGGCGTAGTATTGTTGTGACCCTATATGGGCCTTCCCATTTCTTTGCGAGCTTTCACCCATCTCCTGGTTTGCTGGCCTCCCTTCATCTTAAGACCTCGTCACCTACTTGGAAGTACCGAGGCCCTACCCTATTATTATGGTAGGCCTTGGCTGCTTGCTGATATTCTATCATTTTAGCCTCGGTGACCATCCGCCTTTCCTCCAGCAGGTTCAACTCTGCCATATGGTCCTTTTCGTTCCCTTTCTCCTCATAGATCTTCTCCCGGAAGGTCATTATTTTAGCTTCGATGGGTAGTCTGACCTCACACCCATTTGTAAGGACGAAGGGTGTCTCCCTTATGGCCCTTCTCGAAGTGACCCGGTATGCCCAGATGATATGTGGTAACTCTTTTAACCTATTCGTTCCGGCCTCACCCAATCGCTTCTTGATACCATAGTATGGTTCACATTTTCCACCTGGCCATTCCCTTGCGGGTAGGCCACGGAAGCCTTGTTGTGAGTAATCCCAAAGTCCTCCAAGTACTTGGTGAACCCTGGATTCCGAAACTGAGGCCCGTTATCTGTCACAACGTTTCTTGGGGATCCGAACCGAGTGATGATATTCTTCCAGACGAAGCGTTGGCACTGCTTGGTTCTAATGGTTGCATATGCCTCGACCTCTACCCATTTTGTGAAGTAGTCGATAGCGACCATTACGTACTTCTTTCTCCCTTGTGCTTGAGGAAAGGCTCCAATGATGTCCATCCCAAACCTTGCGAATGGAATAACATTGGAAACTGGGTGGTAGTATGTCGCAGGCCTTCCCGGAAACTTGTAGAATACCTGGCAAATCTTGAACTTCTGAACATACCTCTCGCAATTTTGGTTCATTGTAGGCCAGAAATAACCTAGCAAAAGGATCCTTTGTGCGAGTGTCCTGGACATTTGGTGGGCTGCGCAGACACCCTCATGAACTTCAGCGATCACTCTTTCCGCCTCTGCCCTGGTCAAGCACCTTTACAGGGGACTGCTGAATGCTCTTTTGTATAGCCTTCCATCAAGAATTTGGAATCTTGGAGCCCTCAACTTTACTTTTCTTACCCTGTCCTCGTCTTCAGGGAATTGCCCGGTCATGTAATACCTGACCAAATCATCCATCCAAACATCATCTGGCTCCACTCGATCTGGATTGGGCTGTCCATCTTCCTCTATCACGCTAACAGAAAACCCTTCAATGCTGGCTTTCTCGAGCGTCTCAATCCTGGCCAGCTTGGACACATGCTCCGGGGCTGCTTGCGTCAACTTTGATAGCAAGTCAGCATCAGTGTTCTCCCCCCTAGGGATTTGCTTCATCACATACTCAGTCAGGTCCTTCAATAGTGCCCTTGCCAAGTCTCTGTATCTCTGCATTTTCTCTCCCTTGGCCTCCATGTTGCCATTGATATGACCTACCACCAAGCTTGAATCGGACTTAATCCTGAGGCATGTGATTTGTAGGGTTTTGGCCAATCTCAGACCCCCTATCAGCGCGTCATACTCCGCCTCATTATTTGTGAGCTTGAAATTAAAGATCAAGGCATGATATACCTTGAACCCTTCCGGAGTTGTGAATACCACACCTCCCCCGTAACCTTTCGGTCCAGAGGCTCCATCTACCGACATGGACCACCAAGGCTCGGTGATTACCCTGGTCGGTTCTTCTTCTTGGTGACCCGTCATCTCCACAAGAATATAAGCCACGGCCTGGCCTTTTATCGCTGTCCTCGAGCGATATTCGATGTTGAACTGCGTCAACATCATGGCCCATTTGATCATATTCCGCCTCATTGTTTGTCAGTTTGAAGTTGAAGACGAGTGCATGGTAGATCTTGAACCCTTCTGGGGTAGTAAATACTATACCACCCCCGTACCCTTTAGGACCAGATGCCCCATCTACCGCCATCTCCCACCATTGCTCAGTGGGCTGGTTGACTGGTAGGTCAGGAGTTAGACCGGCCATTTCTACCAGGAAATCTGCAAGGTCTTGTCCCTTGATTGCTGACCTTGGCCGGTACTCAATATTGAATTGAGTTAACATCATTGCCCACTTCACCATCCTCCCGGAGGATGTTGAATTTCGCAACACTGCACCCAGCGGCTGGTCAGTTAGCACTTCCACCGGGTGAGCTTGGAAGTAGGACGTTAACTTTTTCGCAGAAATGAAAAGCGCGTAGGCTGTCTTTTCCATCGCCATATAACTACTTTCTGCTCTGTTTAGTGCTTTGCTCACATAATAAATGGGCTTTTGGGCCCCATCATCTCTTATTAAAATGAAACTTACAGCATTCGTAGAAATTCCTAGGTACAGATACAGAGTTTCACCCGGTTCGGGTTTAGACAATACAATGTCCGACACAAGGTACTCCTTTAATTCTTCAAATGCCCTCTAGCAGTCGTCATCCCATGTAAACGTATTGGCCTTCTTCAGGACTTTGAAGAAGGAAAGGGATTTCTCAGCTGACCAGGAAAGAAACTGGTTGAGGGCCGCTAGACGACCGGTCAACTTTTGAACATCCCTAAGAGAAGCAGGGGCTTGCATCTCGGTGATAGCCCGGATTTTTTCTGGGTTGGGCTCTATTCCTCTCATGGTCACCATGAATCCCAAGAACTTCCTAGTGCGAACTGCGAAGATGCACTTCTTGGGATTCAATCGGAGGTTGTATCTTGATATGATATCAAATGTTGCACGCATGTCAGCCGGGTGGTTGAGAGATACCTGGCTTTTAATTAGAATGTCGTCGACATATGCCTCCATGCTCTTCCCTAGTAGTGGCTTGAAGAGTTTGTTCACCATGCGCTGGTTAGTTGCTCTTGAGTTCTTTAAGCCAAACGCCATCACCCGGTAACAGTAGGTTCCTTCGGGCGTGAGGAATGACGTCTTCTCCTCATCTTCTTTGGCCATGTAAATTTGGTGGTAGCCCTTGAAGGCATCCATGAAACTTAGGAGTTCGCACCCCGTAATTTCGTCCACCATTTGATCAGGGCTAGGCAAGGGATATGAATCCATCAGACAAGCCTTGTTTAAGTCCGTGTAATCCACACACATCCTCCATGTGTCACCCTTGGGAGCAAGGACCACGTTGGCCAGCCAATCTGGATACTTGACTTCCTAGATGTAACCAACTTTGAGGAGGTCCTTTACTTCCTTCCGGACGAAGTCTCTCCGGTCACTGGCTAGGTACCTCTTCTTCTCGCGTACCGGTCGACTTCCATCCCACACTGCCAGCCGGTGGCAGATGATTGAGCGGTCAATCCCAGGCATATCTGTCACGCTCCATGCAAATATGCCTGAGTATTCTTGGAAGACCCGTGTAATCTCCGCCTTGAGATCTTCTAGGAGATTTGCTCCAATTCTGACCGTCCTAGAAGTATCACCCGGGTGAAGTTCGATATCCACCGTCTCGGCCTCGGGCTCCAGTTTTTCCCGGGTTTCTCCCTTTGTGATTTCTTGGGAGATGACGTGGATCCCCTTAGTCATCTTCTTGACTGTCCGGGCATAGCATTCACGGGCATTCCTCTGGTCGCCGCGAACTTCTCCCACGCCACCTGGAGTGTGGAACTTCATGCATAGGTGAGGCATGGAAATCACCGCCCGAACTTTGTTAAAGCCGGTCTTCCAAGGGTTGCGCTATGGACGCACTTGATGTCCACAACGATGAACCACATATTCTTCCACACGGCTTTGTCCCCCGACCCGAGTTCGACCGGTAGGACTATGGATCCCTCAGCTTCCACGGTATCTCCTGTGAAGCCTGAGAGAGGGGTCTTTAGGGGTTCAAGTTGTGTCCGACACAACCTGAGTTTTTGGAAAGTCTCCAAGTATAGGATGTTGACACTACTGCCGGTGTCAACTACTACCCGGGCGACATCCACCCCGTTAATGTCCATGGGATGACGAAAGGATCATTATGGTCATCACCGGTAGCGGGAAGGTCCCGGTCTGTGAATACGATCGGTTCCCTTCTCGTTTGCTTTCGCCTGACCGGGTCAGCACTTACTTCTCTAACGTAAATGCTGCGAACTAAGTTCTTTCGTTGTGCGGCTGAATCTCCACCTTCAGGTCCGCCGAATATCATGCCAATGTGTTCCTTATCAGGAGCAGGCTGCTGCTCCCTTTGCCGGTTGTTCCTCTAGGTTGCTGGCATGATCCATTAGTGGCTCTTTTCCTGGGCCTTTTGCAAATAGTCTTTTCCTAGTTCTCCGTTGTCTATCATTTTCCGGATGACTCCCTTAACACTCTTGCACTCAGAAGTGTTATGGGAATCTGACCTATGGAACGAACAATACGTTCCCGACCATTGTCGTCCCGGTTGATCGGTAGGGTTTTCTGGAGGATTGACCGGTGCTTTCCTTATCTTCGGGCACTCCTCTGTGTTGACTATGCAAACGACCAGGTCATTGTGGTGCCTTGGGCGGCTCGATCCCGGTGCTTCTTCCTTCCTGATCTGCACCGGCTTGGGCTTGAATCCATGTTCAGCCTCTTTCTTCGCCCGGAGTTGGGTTTCAGCCTCCGCGAATTCCCATGCGTGTGGTAAGATTCTTGATACGTAGCCGGGGGTTTTCGGCAGAACTCCTTGTATAGCTCCCCGGCACGTAAGCCATTCAAAAGGAGAGACAAGACTGTCTTATCGTCCATCTCTTCCACCTTGTCTACCTCTTCCTTCCACCGGGTAAGGAACTGAGTGAGGTTCTCAGATTCCCTCTGCCCGGCTGTACTAAGATATGTGAATTTCGTCCTCTTAATACAATTCTCCTGGAACTTGGCCTTGAATTTCTTCCAAGTCACTGAATGAATCAATGCTTCCTGGGCGAAGCTTGTTGAACCATTCAGTAGCTCGGTTCCGCAGGGTTTGGAAGAAGAGAAGGCACTTTTCTTTATCTGTGCAACCGTTCATGGTTGCACTCTGATGGAAAGAATCCAGATGGATTTCTTGACCTTTCGCGGGAAAGGTGTCAGATGGACCCTTGTGGTGAACGGGGACCTGGCGAGGGGTTTGTCCCGGTCATTCTTTTCCCCAACCTTCTTCTCCAGCCTTTCTAGTTTTGCCTCAATCTGTTGGACGCGATCATTTGGGATGGTTAACCGGTTAGCCACCGGTCCCCTGGGCAGGCTCTCTGCTTCCTCTTCCTGGCGTGAAGCCCTTGTTCTTGCAGGCTCTGGCCGGTTCGACTGGGAGCCCTGGGTACGGGCACGCTCGGCCTCCCTTCCCTCGCCTAACCGGGCGAATGCGCTAACATAGGCAACGTTCTGCCCCAACCTTAGCTTGGTTGACTTCCTCTGACCTTCTTCTCTATCCCCCAGCCTTTCGAAGGCGGAGTTTCGGGAAGTTGCTGGTCTGATGGTTCTTCCTTTCTTCTTTTTGTGGGTCCTTGAGATGTCCCACTCTTCGTCATCACTCTCCACAGAGATACAATGGCCCTCTGAAGTTGTCTGGGGATGTGCGTTCTGTAGAGGGCGCGATGGACCGGCGGCGTTGAGTGCACAGGTCAAGTTGACGGGGGCCACAGCGCTAACCAACTACAGATGGAAGGGCGATGGCTGTGGTACTGGCGTCTGGAAGGGAGACGCCGCCATCGGAGTTTGCAGGGGCATTGTTCCTGCGCCTGGGAGGGCAAATGGAAACATGCCTGGGAGGAATGGCATCCCCCCATTCTGCTGACACATGGCCATGACCTGGCCAAAGCCTTGGATGGCTTGTAGATTGGCTGGGTCATTCATGAACTGGGTCATGCTTGGTGGGAACATGACCCTTGGTCCAGAAGAGGGGACAGGGATCGTGAACGGGCTGACCACGCTGGGTGTTGGGATTGAACTCAGACCCAATGGCAAGACGGGAGCAGAAACAGCCGGTTGGGTCGCAACCATGGGGATGCTGACCCCCTCAGTGGTGGCTTGCACCTGGGCAGAGGTAGCGTTGCTTTGTTGGCCTGAAGACATTTTGAGTGATGTTTTTGTGGGTAGGTTTGTGTTTAGATGAAAAGAAACCTTAATGGTCCCACGGGTGGCGCCAAAAATGATGGTGTAAATTACCTAACCGGGTAAACTATTCTAGACCGGGTCTAGGATTATTTACTTGATTCGAAAAGTAAAAAAGTAAAAACACGCAAATATGACCGGGAGGACTTTAGGTGGAACACCTGTAGCCCAATTAATATTATAACAGAGAGTGCATGGGAGCTTTTAGAAGGGAGTTTAAGGAGAATGAGTTCCGATCCCTCTTTCTGAGGATTACAACAGTATTTATACTAAGTTAAGGGGGAACAGAGTATCATGCAAACAGGTTGAAGCACGTTCTCGGATGGTGGGAGGTGATGGGCTTCGTCCTCTAGCTGCCTTGTCGCCTTGTGAGGAAGATTACTTCCTTTGTCAGGTAGCGCCTTGGATGGAATGTTCAAGCATCTCTAGCGATTCTCCACTGATCTCGGTCGCTACTGTCCAAACGACTTTGGATTCTTTTCTGCCGACGCTTCCCAACCCTAGAAACTACACCGGGTAGTTTCCCAAGGATAAGTTTCTCGCGTTTGAGGAATGAATGAGGCAATGGAGTAATTTGACCGGTATACTATCCGAAGTGTACCGGTCAAATTTTTAGTCAATCGGGCCTCTTTTTACTGCCGATTAAGGTCTCTCCTCCAAGTATAATCAACTTGACCGGTGTTGGCCCTTTATTTTGACCGGTCTTGGGTGGAATACACCCATCGATTTCCAATTTCTAAGTATTTGTATTTTCATAGAGCATTTTATATAGTAACCGGAATAGTATCACGGGCTTGAATGATTTTGCAATTTAAAAATAAAAAAGAAAAAAAATTGCAAACTATTTTTGAAATTTCCATTAAAGAAATTAACCAAAATAGGATAAAATATTGTCTTTTTTATTGCATCGTGACAACGTGCCACTATATATAGGCATTTCATTCTAATTTTTTGTATTATATGTTGACATTATTAACATTCTTGTTTTGGAGATAAAAATATGAATTTTTTATTTTGGTTATTTTTGTATATTTTACTTATTTACACCTTATTAATCTTTAAGAAATCTACCTGAATAGAAGTAAAAAAAAGTATGAAAATACCAAAAAAAAAGAGTCTTAAGTCTTTTAAGACCAAAAAAGGAGTATAATGACAGTGTAATGTAAGACTAAGCATTGGAAGTGTGGTGGAAAAGTGATGACACTATAATCTGTGAGTATGATTAGTCAACCGTCGTCGGTGATCCACGGCGGCACTCGGGAGGCCAACGGCGATGGATGGTAGTGTAGCGGTAGTGTGATAGTTATAATGTGACAATGTGGTGAGTGTGACAATATAAAAATGGCAGTGTGAACTTCTATTTTGGTCTTAAAAGACTTATGACTCCTATTTTGGTATTTTCATAGTTTCTTACTTCTATCAAGGGAGTTTTTCCTTAATCTTTCTAACTTACCTGTCAAAATCATTGGAGCATTAATATTTATTTTTGTATTAATGTTTTTTCAAATCAATGTGGGGGAGAAAAAGAGTTTAATTTTAATACTTTAGAATTAAAACTTTTAATTAGAGATTTAGAATCCCTAATTTAAGATTTTGGTTTTTAATAATGCGGGAGAGAAGAATAAATTTTTATAATCATTGCGCGCGGGGGGAGGGGGGTTGTTGGAATTATTTTTTTCGCTAATCTTAATTAATATGGAGGAGAAGAATCATATTTTTAATTATAGAATTATAACATTGGTAATTTAGATTTTTTAAAAGTAATGCAAGGGAAAAGAATCATTGGATCACTAATACTTTTTATATTAATATACTAGTATTTCTATCCGTTCCACGCACGGGTTCAGATGAAATTTTTTTTGATTCTACAATGTGGATCTTGATTTTTATTTGGCATATTATTTAAAGGTCAAATATAAATGATTTAGGTTTGATGTATTTCTACAAATCTATAATTTTTCTCCATGTATAATTCAAAAATATATTTATACAAAAAGTATTAGTGATCCAATGATTCTTTTTCCTCACATTAATTTAAAAAACCTAAATTACCGACCTTATAATTATCTATGTATAGTAGTACTTTATAGTTGAGATTTATTCACTTAGTGTCCTCTGTATATATTTGTTAAATGGATGGTCAGTGGAGGAAATTTAGGTATTTTCAACATTTAAAACTAGAGTAAATTTTTAAAATGACCCTTTCGGATTAACCTTTCTCTAATTTAGGTCTTCGTTATAATAATTATAATTTTTTCCCAATTGTGCATTTAGGGGAACCTTAATATTTTGTGTCCCTCTATTAGCTACTCATGTTCACACTAGTAAATTTCGAATGAGGATGACCTCGCCTCCGATCCTCTAATTCATATCTATGTAGAATTTTGATAAAATTCACGTATGAAAAATACGTGATTAGTTTTTTTTTGCAAATATTGTTTTGTTGTATATATCTCATGCGAATATTTTTCTGTGTTCTTTTAAAAAGTAGTAGTTGTGACTTCAATGAAGTCAAAAGTGAACTACCTATGATTATTTTAAAATATTTTTGTAATTTTTCATTGTGAAAATCCTTGCAACTACATTTGTTTTGCTGTTTAAAAATAAATTCACATCAAGTGAAAAATATTTTGGATGTAAAATACATGTGATTATTTTTACGTGCTAAGTTTTTAAAATTTTATGTGAAAAATGTAACTATTATTTTAGAAGTTGATTTTAAAAATTTATACTATTATTTTAATTATTTTAGAAGTTGATTTTATAAAATTTTTAATCAAAAAAATGAATTTTAGTTTTCACTCATGAGTAGTGACCGATGCATTTGAGGCAGTCTATTTGCTTGTTTTTGTAGTAGTGTCAATTGCATAAAACTTCATGTAGGTTCTAATTTTTTCAATAATACTCCCTCTGTATTTGTATTTGATCTTCTCAATTGACTTTTCTTGTCAATTTTGTATACCTTAACCTCGATATATAGAACAAACATTGTCTTCCGATAGAAATGCATTACCAATAACTTCCTTTTGAAGCTAAGGAATCTCTTAATGTTTGGTAGCTCGTATTTTGGAAATAAAAAAAATATACATTTTTATTTTGGTATTTTCTCCATGTTTATTCCTATTCTAGTACAGAGTATTTTTTTCCAAAAAATTATACCGACACTATACACAAGACATATACTTCTTATACAACTTAAATTGGATCTACCCATATTTTGATTCACCACTTGTCGCAATTCTAGGAATTTAATTCTCAAATTTAATATATAAAGATATTTCCTTTATGAAAATACTCTCATTTAAAAAAAAGTTTTATCATTTATAAACACGATTTATATAAAAAATAAATACATTTAAAGACTATCAATACCGTGATGTGAATATATATAATATCTCAAACAAAATTTAAAATCTTGATAGATTTTTTATACTCCCTATTATATAATTAAGGAAATTTTAATTATTAAAAAAGTTATTGAATACATTAAACCACAAAGTTTTCATATTAAAAATTATCTAATATACATAAACCCATAATGCACTAAATTTCTTTAATACATTTCTCATCTTTAATTAGTGGTATAAGATGAGCTACTCCAAAGTATATTTTAGCTCAATAAATTTTCATACAAAAGAATAAATTAATAATTTTAAAAAAATTATATTTCACTCAAAAGACTTTTAATATTATTTTCGTTTTTATGAAAAAACACCCGAGCTAATCATGATTAGTTTCTTTTTATGATTAATTTATTTAATTTTTGTTGAAAAATTACATTTATTTCATTTACATAATTTTCAATAAATTCAAAAGTCCATAATTTTTTAATATAAAATATATTGTTTTAAACTCATCATATTTTAAAGGTTATCATAAATAAATTTCCATAAATGATGAATGAGCATTTAAACCATGCCATGTAATTAATTCATGTGCCATGTCATTTAAAAATTGTCATGTAAGATGACACATGTCAACTTCTTTAAGACATGAGTCTCAAATATTATAGTAAAGAATTTTTGAATTTGTACAGGGAGAAAAGTTTATAGATTTGTAGAACTGCATTAAACCTGATCATTTATATTTGACGTGTATATAATATGTGCCATAAAATTCAAGTCATTTTAAAAATCCAAATTGTAGAATCGTAAACAATTTCATTTAACCCTGTGCGTGGCACAAGTAAAAATACTACGGAGTAGTATAAAATTATGAGAGAAATTAGTACAGAGTAGTAATACGTCAAGAGAACTGTAAAAAATGTACAGTTATTGGTTTCTATATAGTTCTCTGTATTATTTTTCATTTCAACCTAAAAAAGCTCGAGATGTTATACCAAACACATATCAACTATGCTACACCTACACCAAAGAGTGTACCCCAAAGATACATCAAACGTATACACTAATATTTTGATAGTTCACACTGACACAAAGATTTGTATTAAGATTTTGTGCATTAATAAAAATTTGTGCATTAATATTAGTTCAAACGTATACACTAATATTTGTGCATTAATAAAAATTTGTACTAAGATTTTGTGTCTGTGTGAACTATCACCTAGCATTACACTGATACAAAATAAAGGTGCAAACCTGCAGTGTACAAATTGGGGTACAAATAGCTTAATCCAACACATATCAAACGGACCTCATAAACTCACAATTATTCTTCTAATCTCATAGCTAAAGCTATAACAAAGAAGCAAGTGTATAACAAAAGCAACGTGAGAGAAATAGTAGGAAAAGAATGCCACCAATAAATATTCTAGATAGATAAACTGTGAGATTAGAAAAGAAAAAAAATATAATAAGAGTCCATTTAATAAAAATATTATATAAAAATCATATAACCTATGTATCAATTTTCGAGTGAGAATATATAGGTTAACATCAATAAAATCAAACGAGTAGACAATTTCTGATACCTTTATATTTTGCTATGAGCCTATGACTATCAATAAGAGTCTAGGTCAGACAATGTTATTTGTTAGATTATATTTTACAAAAATCAGTATTCGCTCACGGTTAACTTTGTTAGTGTTTCACGAGTGAAATCAGTATTCTCTCACGGTTAACTTTGTTAAGTGACGATGATAACCCTTGCAATTTCACCAAAAATATAGTATCCCCCAAAGTTTTCCAAAATATTTGAATTTCAATTAAACATTTTACATGTTCTTTTTGATTTATATATAGATCATTTTCAATTAGCAAATGTTTATGGTATATCATTCATTAAATTCTAGAGGTTGCTATTACATTTTGCTTGATTTTTTAATTGTTAACTGCAAAAAAAAAAACAGAGTAAAAAAAATTTATTCTACTCATGTAAAATCAGAGGCTCTAACGGTTACAAGCCCCCCAGATTCCAAATTTCAAACTCGACATATACACGCCTATCCCCAACGGTCATATTGCTCATTTCTTCATTTCCTTGCGGGCCTGATTCCGCATTTCCCAAACCCTAAATTCTGGAAAACCGCGTTCGAGAAATCTGATAGTACCCAGCCCAAACGAATTAAGAAGTTTTGATGGACATGGGCGGTTCATACTCCAGAAAAGGGGCTTCTTTGTCGAGCTTTTCTCCTGTTCCTGAACCATTTCCTTCTGGTAAGCCCTTGAAGCGGACATGTAATATTATGTTCATTGAAAGAACAGGTCTCTGTTTTTATGATATAGAAACGGATTGAAAATGGTGGAACTCTAGATCTTCTGTTCTGTTTTATTAGCTTTCAAATTTGTGCATTTCTTGATATATGTAAATATCTATAGTTGTTTAAATTGTACCAAAATAATTGTGATCTTGAAACCTAGATTTCCTTGCCGAATGTAGCTGCAAAATTTGAGCCTAAAGTCAATTTTTCCCTTTTTAAATGTAAGTTCAAAGATCTGCAATTAGATGAGGGATACACTTTTGTGCTCAATGGATGTTTAATTTGTTTTCTTTTCTTGTGAAGGAGGGGAAAGGAATGAGAATTTGATGCATCCCCAGAAACCAGTGACTAAGCAGTTCATGTCATCCACCAAAGAAAGGAGTGTTTTGGGTGAAAGGAATGAACCTAACTCTTCTCATAGTCCTATACGGAAACCCCCAACTCATGTTGAAAAAACTAATCTAAAAAATTCAAGATTTCAATACCCTAACAGATCTTCGTTGGCTGTTTCTGAGCCTGATAAGGATGATTCGTCTTCCAAGCAGTATGACCCTTTAAGAAGTAATTACTGTTCTCCTCGGCCTAAGTATTTGCGCTACAGACCAAATAGGCATCGCGAGCTCATACTTAATCTTGAAAGTCGGGATTATGGTGTTCAAAGATGCAATTCTGCTGCTGATGGTGGAAATGGGGAATCAGAAGATGATGCAACGGGGAGGGATGAGGATGAATCAGATGATGAAGAGGAGGAGGAAGAAGAAGAGGGATATTTGGAAGACAGCCGACCGAGTTCCAATTGGTTCTTGAAATTTCTGCTTTTCACGGTGGCTGTGCTCCTGTCGCCTTTGTTTGTATCTCTGTTGGACAACTCTCCATCTTCACCAACCGAACCAGTTGCGTATGGCTTTGGAGAAATGAACAATGTATTTTGGGGTGTTTCTTTGAATGGAAGTGTGAGTGAGTATCAGAATGAAATTGAAGTGTCACCAAGTGGTATAACTTGGGAATCGGATGAAAGGGTAGAAATTGGTGATGGGGTAGAATTGCCTGTGGATGAAGAGGAGATGTTCACTGGAACTAGCAATATGCCCAGTGAAGGTCAAGAAAAGCTAGAGAAAGAAACTACTGAAAGCGTTGCCGGTGAAGTTGAAGAAGGTTTTGATCAACTCCCTCTGGGAAACAGCGCAGACGAAGAAGGTTTTGATCAACCCCATTCTGTTGGTGAAATGGAAGAAAAAGAAGATGGTTTTGATCTACCAATGCAGCATGGAGCTCTTGAAGTGACTGGTGAGAGACTTTCTGAAAGTAAGAATTATGCTTCTGATGTTATTCAAGAATTTGTTCAGGTAGAGCCTGCAGCAGCTTTGGTGGAAAGCATCAGAGAAACATTCCTGGAGGAGACAGAAACGTCTGATGATCCCATAGATTCTGATGATTCCAAGGATGAAGATACTGTTCCAGGGATAATATATGATGATTTCAAAGATGAAGATACTTTTCCATGGAGAATTTCTAATGATTCCAAAGATTTTGCTGATGTGGCAGTGAAAATTTACTCAAAACTCCAACAGATTATGCTCACACCAGCAGCCATTACCATTGTTTCCCTCCTTCCAGTTATTCTTGCATATGCATATTCTGCAAGGCAACCAAGAACTTTACATGAACAATCCGATGCTGTTCTAGACCCACCACCACAAAAGGTGAACACTGAGAAAATTGAATCTAATGCAAAAGCTTCAGCTTTGATTGATCCTGCTGAAGAATACCGTCGATATACGGCCTCCAACTTGTTCCCCCCTCTTGAGCACTCATCTATAGTAGAAATGGAGGCCACCCGAGGAACGAAAAAACTACCCGGTGTGAAAAATGCAGAAGACTCTTCTTTTTTGGTTGGCTCGGTGAAAGATTCAGTACAAGAGCTTAGTAGCCACAACAAAACTCTTGAAGTTGAGCTTCTTGGAGAATTTGTGATAGGAGAAGCCAGCAGCTCCTTAAGAGCTTGTGTTATAAGGAAACCCAGGCTGCTGCCTGAAACAGAAGAGAGCAGTTATTCCTTTTCTCAAGCCAGTGGTGGATCATCAAAACTTCATCACCCTCCCATGGAGTCCCCAACATCTGACTCCTCATTTGGAAGAAGGTTTTCCACCACTGAAAAGAAACAACTACCCAAGAAGAAAGAGGTAAATTTTATGCTTCAATTTGGGATTCATTACTGACACCATCCATTACTCTTTTTTTTCTTCAAAACTTTGAATTTTTATTTTTTTGCTTCTTTGCTATGACAGAGAGGCAACGATGGAGAGGCCACCAAGAAGGGGGTGATCACCACAACTCCAGTTAGGCGGTCGAGCAGAATCCGAAACAGAGGGGTTATGTCTCCGTGAACAATCATCATTCATTCAATTCAGCAAATTTCTTTTTTGTGTTATTTTCATTAATTAAAGAAACAGCAAACTGTGCTGTTTCATAAGCTAGAATATCTACAATGTTCATAAATGTAATAGCTTCGGATAATGATCTTATCTTTAATTTGGTTGCTTGCCCACTCCCCTTGTTTTATTTCTTGATATTCTTTATATCTATCTTATCTGAGCTCGGAGTAAACTGGGTGCGTGGGATATATGCTCAAATATATAACATCAAACAAATGAAATTAACTTTTCCATAATACTCTGTATATATTTAGTTTGGGAATTAACAGAAATCAATACTAAGCAATTCAATTTCTCCTTCTATGAAATCAGTAAAATAATAAATAAATAAATAATCCCCAGAAAGACTTCGACACACACGCATCATGGGTGGTTTTCCTTCACAGGAACCAGAGGGGGCTTGCTATTCCTGCTGCTGCTAATGAAGCTTGCTTTTGCTCTTGTACTTTGAGAAGAAGAAGAAGATGGTGATGATGGTGAAGCCTTCTTAGTGATGATTGGTGTAGGAGAAGTGTGTGATTTGAAAGCATCCAAACCAGCCCTTAAACTCTTGCAACCCTTCTTTCTTCTTGTGTATGGTGTTTCCTTCTTTGGTAGGTCTTGTATGCTTGTCACCTCTGACAGTGAAGTGAAAGATTCTGATTTACCATTGTAAAATCTGGACAGCCCCTTTCTGTTCAATAAAGTAAAAACACCCACATCAGAATTTAACCTCTTTTTTTTTTCTTGTTTTTTTACCATGGGAGGGGAATCAATTGAAGACTGGAGACAGTAAAAAAAACCCACCTGGTGGGCAATTGGTTCTTGAGAGATGACATGTCAAACAAGGAGGGTGGTCCATTGGATGATGAACATGAAGTTGGTGAAGAAGATGATGATGCATCATCTTTGGTGTCCAGAGAACACAGTATGGGTGATGATGATGGTGTGGGATCATCCATGCTCCCCATCCATGGCTGAGGACCATCCTGGGGATCCATGAAATTGTTTTCCCTGCCAAACCGAAACCATTGATGATCTTGGTGGTGATGACGATGAACAACAGCCAGTTGATTCATGTTGCTGAGATCTGCTGATTCTCCCTCCTCAAGAAACTTCTTATTATTCTTAATATGAATGAATGAAAAAGAAGAAGAAGAAGATGGAGAGCTCTACGTAGGAGGCATATGCATATATATATATATATATATATATATATATATATATATATATATATATATATATATATATATATATATATATATATATATATATATATATGGGATTGGGATGGCCATAAATAAATTCTCCCAATAAAAGATAAATGCAAGCTACCCTTAGATAGAAGATGGTGGGTGTGCTTTGTGGATTGGTTTTGGTTATACTTTTGGACAATCAAATCTTATCACATGTTAGCCTCACGAAAATCCTGCACTGCCATACATGGAGTGGGACCCCCAACTATTATCATGCTAAGATTCCTCAAAAATATTATGATGGATAAACATTCTCCCGGATATTTACTTTCCAAAAAACATAAAACTACGAGTATTTAGTTTGATTTTAGTTAGATTTAATAATTAAAAAAAAGGTACTGTATTTAGAATTTCGTTTGGATGATAGAGAAGTTTTATAAACCACGTGTTTAATTATTACTACTTAAAAAAAATAAAAGGAAATTTGGTTTTGGAAATTCGAAAAGAAAATATGGATAAATTTTTTTTTTACCCATTATTCCGTATTTACATGATCCCTCAATAAGATACCAAAAACAAACCGATGCATTCCATATTTACTTTACTTAAATTACCGCTGAATTTTCCTTTCTGAAAACACCTCCGAAATCTTTCTCAAAAATAGTACTTACCTCATCCAATATTCACTTACTAAAATTCTCCCATTTCTACCTCAAAAATAGTTTGGTTTTTGTTCGCTCAGTTTGATACTCGCCGTCTCAGAATAGAAATAGAAAATTTAACTAATATGTTCAAAAATTCAATCAAAATTCTACAAAATAAACGATGACATGTTAGTTTAGAAACAGAATAATTGACCGACATGTTCAAAAATTAAATAAAAAATTCTGTAAAATAAGTGGTGATAAAAAAATTTTAATTAATGAAATAATCAATGGAAATGAACACTCAAACAAAAACTATCAAAAATCTTGAATAGCAAACATGAAGATATTTTTGGGACAGAGAAAATATAATAATTACTAATAACATTTAAAAATACTACCGAACAATAATAGTTTTTGTTGAAACAATTAAAAAATTTATTATTGTGATTGCACTTAAAAAAATTAAAACCTTCTAAGTTTCATACGTGCTCGAATAAAAGTGATCAAGCCACACGTTGTTCACATTAGAGTTGGTGAATAAACCGAATAAACTTTTAAGGTGTGATCAATAGGAACACTTTCCTAAAAATTTCTTAAAATTCATATTTTTTTGGAAGTCTTCGTGGAATATAACATTTTGGTGTGGTTGCAAGGAAAGGCAAAGCTAAAGTCACCTCCGATGGTTCGAGCTTACGTGGTTCTCAAGGAAGACACTCCGCCTCTTCCCTCCCTACTATACCTGATCAATTACGCTTTGACGGATCAAGAATTCAAGCAGTATTTGGGAGATAGGACCGACACCAATCTTCCAACTCTTGAAGATATATTCGAGGACATTGATGAAGCAGAAATGGACGTGGAGCCTACACCGCATAGCAACAATCCCACCGACGCCGACGAGGAGGCAGGTAAGCCCGAGACCTCTCAAGGTCCGGGGAAAGGTAAAAAAATTAAAACCTGATTTATTGGTTTATCATTTTTCAAAAGAAACAAAAAATGGTGAAGTTTTTGGAACTTGTAATTATCGTGGCACCGTCATTTAAATGGGAATTTCCGGCAGTTATGGTGGTCCGGAAAAATACCTAAGGGCGAGGCACCCTGTGGAGTACGCAAATACGCGGCGAAAAAGAAGGGACGACAAGAAGTGCAAACCCAAATTTCTCGGTTTGCTATCAAGGGTAAGGGCGGCCTTTTTGCTTATAGCGACGAGCAAAATAAGCAAAAAGTGACCGAAATGATTTGTGAAGAAAATTTTCCATGCATGATTTCTGAAAAACTTGGATTTATTGATTATTGTCAAAATGCATTAAGTCCTCAAGCAAGAGGTTTTTCAAAAAAACAATTAAACCAGAAATTATTCGACAATATAAAGTTGAAAAATAAATTTGGCAAATTTGTTTCCTAATTTTAATTCTCGTGTTACTATTTGTTCTTGTTAGCGTCTATTGTGTATATATTATTTTGTAATATTGTGGGCCTATCATATTGGGCTTGTAACTTGTATTTATATCCGAGCAATTCCTGGTAACCTAACCCTTCCGCTGTCACCGGTCACAGGATCGGCCATCGTCTCCGTTTCTAGACGCCTGTCTCTGTCCAAGTCGCCGGCGAAGCAGATTCGTCCTTCCAATTGTTCGCCCGTCCCTTTTCTGGTAGCCTACGGAGAAGATTTTTCAGAATCACCCGGTGAAGTCGCCGCCCAGATTCATTGTTCAGCCATCTCTGTTCGCCAGTCCCTTTTTCCGGTCGTCTGCGAAGAAGGCTTGTCAGATTCACCAGTTGAAGTCGCCGCCCAGATTCACCAGTTCCGGTCAGATTCACACATCCTTGTTCGCCTGTTCACCCAGATTAGGCACGCCGTCTATCCCTCTCTATTTCCGATCGTTTGTGAAGAAGTTTGAGTCGGCAGTTTGTCTGACTCTGTTTGTCCAGATTTCTTTATTGGCCACTTTGCCATTTGTCCGATAGTTTGAATTGGTTTGGTGTAAAAACATCACCAGAAAATTAACACGATGAAAACTACCTCGTGTGATTGGTTGATTGATAGCGGTGCTTCTCATCATATGACGGGTACTTTGTTTCACATGTTCAATATTGAGGATGTTTTATCTCATCCTATTTTTCTTCCTGATGGCTCCTGGATTCAGGCTACTAAAAAGGGAAGTGTCCGTGTGACCCCTAGTCTGGTTCTCCATCATGTGTTTTATGTCCCCACATTGCATTGTCATTTGATTTCTGTCGGGTGTTTGATTCGGGACACTACCTGTTATGTTACTTTTAATGATTTTGGTTGTGTAATACAGGACCGTTCGTCGAAGATGGTGATTGGACTGGGTGAAAAGCGAAACGGAGTATACATCCTGGTTTCTTCCTCTGCGTCGGCTAATGTGGCTAACGTGGCTAACGTGGATCCTTTGTTTCTTCATCAATGTTTGGGTCATGCTTCCTCAAATATTATTTCCCTTTTAAAGTCCAATAAGTCTGGTTCTGTTATCAAGAAACTTCAAGCTTGTGAGATTTGTTTTTTGCCTAAACAAACTCGTTCCTCCTTTCCTGTTAGTCATAATAAAGCTGAAGCAATTTTTGACTTAATTCATTGTGATTTATGGGGTCCTTATTCCCCTTGTTTGTCATCTGGTGCTCATTATTTTCTCACAATTGTTGATGATTTTTCTCGTGCTATTTGGGTATATCTTATTCGTACTAAAAGTGAGGTAACATCCTGTCTTAAACAGTTTTTTACCATGATTCACACCCAATTCTCTAAAATCATCAAAGTAGTCTGGTCTGATAATGGCACAGAATTTCTCAATGCCCCTTTGCGCCAATATTATGATTCCATGGGTGTTTGTATCCAAACATCGTGTGTTGGTACCCCTCAGCAAAATGGTCGAGTAGAACGAAAGCATCGTCACATTCTCAACGTTGATCGTTCTCTCATGTTTCAAGCGTCTCTTCCAAGTGAATTTTGGGGGAAATGTGTCAAAACTGATGTTTACTTAATTAATCGCACACCGACAAAACTCTTGGGTGGGAAATCTCCTCTTGAAGTACTTTCGTCTAAACCACAAGATTTGAGTCATCTCCGGGTGTTTGGGTGTCTCTGTTTTGTCCGTCAAACACCTAAACCTCTAAACAAATTTTCTCCCCGTAGCGTGAAGTGCATGTTTATTGGGTATCCTTATGGAACAAAAGGGTGGCGGGTGTATAACTTGGATACTCACCAGTTTTTTCACGCTAGGGATGTCGTGTTTGACGAATCACAATTCTCGTTCTCTGTTCCAAACACCACCAGTTCCGTCCAACCCGTCTTAAACCCCGCCGACGTCGACTTTCCCGTCGTCTCTCCGCCGACAGCCTCCCTTGGTGACACCACCGAGCAGCCCAGCCCGCCACCGTCCTCAACCTCGTCTCCCATCCCAGTCCCGTCAACCGAATAGCCCCCTCTTCCCGTCACTGTCCAGTCGACGGGCGAGTCTACCTCGTCCGTCCCGTCTCCGTCTCCTTAACCTCCTCGCACATGTCGCCTCCCCACCCACCTCAATGATTATGTCCTCCATTCTGTGTCTACCGTCACTCCGTCTCCCTCTTCACCTGGCTCTGTCTCGTCTGGTACACGGTTCCCGATTACTAACTATGTTCATTATGATAAGTTGCATAACAGGTACAAGGGCTTTCTTGGTGCTATTGGTGCTTCTCCGGTTCCCACATCATATAGGGAAGCCGTCCGATATGCTTCTTGGAGGGAAGCTATGGCACAGGAATTTAATGCATCGGAGCGCAACCATACCTGGGAGATTACTATTCTACCTCCTAATCGGCGGGCCCTTGGTTGTCAGTGGGTGTATCGCACTAAATATCGGTCTGACGGCACCAAGGAGCAGGATAAAGCCCGTCTGGTTGTCTTGGGAAACCACCAGGAGGTGGGGGTTGACTTCACTAATACTTTTGCCCCCGTAGCCAAGTTAGCTACAGTTCGGGTGTTTTTGTCTGTCGCAGTTGCACGAGGATGGCAGGTTGACCAGTTGGATGTCAACAATGCCTTTTTACACGGGGATCTTCAGGATGAGATACGTATGAAGCTCCCACCTGGATACTCTCATTTGTTTCCTGGGAAGGTTTGCCGTTTGCGAAAATCTTTATACGGGCTCCGTCAGTCTCCCCGTAATTGGTTTGCCAAGCTTCGTATGGCTCTGCGTCGCTATGGCTTTCGCCAGGCCCATGCGGATCATACCCTTTTTGTTCTCTGTCGCGGTCCTGATATACTTGTTGTTCTTGTTTATGTGGATGATATTCTTGTTGCAGGCAATAATCCTTCCTTGTGCACTTCCTTTAAAAAGTACTTGGATGCATGTTTTCAGCTCAAAGATCTTGGTCCGGTCTCTTATTCTCTAGGTATCGAGTGTGCTCGATCCTCTACTGGTATGGTTCTTAATCAGCGCAAATACACATTGGACATTCTTTTGGAGCACAATCTCTCCGGATGCAAGCCTGCCGACACCCCACTGCCTAGCAACCACAATCTCGCCCGCTCTACTAGTGCTGAGCTTCGGGATTCCTCCAAGTATCACCGTCTTGTTGGACGTTTGTTGTACTTGACTATTACTCGGCCAGATATATGTTATGTTGTTCATGCGTTGTCACAGTTTATGCAGGCTCCACGTCTGGACCATTGGACCGCGGCTCTTCGTGTTCTCCGGTATCTTAAAGGGCACCCAAGACAGGGTATCCTCCTCCGGCGTGATAGTGACCTGACCTTGACAGCTTATTCTGATTCAGGTTGGGCGAGTTGTCCGATCACCCATCGCTCTGTCGCTGGTTATTTTGTCCTTCTTGGTGGGTCCCCTATTTCTTGGCGTACTAAGAAGCAAACCGCCGTTTCACGTTCTTCCGTAGAGGCGGAATACCGTGCCATGGCTAACGCCTGTGCCGAAATCCGATGGCTCCGTGGTCTCTTAGCCGCTTTACAGGTTCCTTGTGTTGCTACCCCGCGCTTGTATTGTGATAACAAGTCCGCTCTCTTCATTGCGGCTAATCCGGTGTTTCATGAGAGATCAAAACATATCGATATCGATTGTCATATAGTTCGGGAATGCCTCCAGCGTGCTCATATTGTCACAGCCTATGTTCCTACACTGTTGCAGATAGCTGATATCTTCACGAAGGCGCTCCCCTGTCCTCTTTTCCATTCTCTTTTGTCCAAGTTGGGCATTTTTTATCTCTATGCTCCAACTTGAGGGGGAGTGTTAGTGTCTATTGTGTATATATTATTTTGTAATATTGTGGGCCTATCATGTTGGGCTTGTAACTTGTTTTTATATCCTCCGGTATCAATGAAACAATCAAGTCATTCACTTCACTAAATTTTACAGTTCTGATATTTGGAGTGACACATATCATAACTTGTCTTATATGGGTGTTACTTGTCATTGGATAGATAGTAATTGGATTATGCATAAACGTGTTCTTGCATTTCATGATTTCAATGAATCTCATACAGCTGAAATTTTTTTTATATTGCTTGAGCGTATTCTGCGAAAATATAATTTTGTTAATAAAGTGTTTGCATTTGGTTTTGATAATGCTACTAATAATACTTCTGTTATTCCTAGACTTAAAGAAATTTTACCCCCTACTACGAGTATGGGTAGATTTCTGCATCAAAAGTGTGCTTGTCATGTTTTAAATTAATGTGTTCAACAGAGATTAGAAGCTATGGGGGGTTTGACGAATATTAGAAATGGAATAAAAAAGATTTGGGGTAGTGGAAGTCATTCTGTAAATCTAGAGATAGAAGACCAATAACATTTGCTAAAGATATCACCATTAGATGGAATAGTACATACAAGTTGATAGCACAAAGAGGAACTTGCTGAATTTCTTAGAAATGAACTTATTTTTATGATTTCATTGAATGAATTTGTGATTGTTGAAAAATTCAATGCCGTATTAGAAGTTTTAATAACGCAACTCTTACTTTCTCGCATGTTTAACAACCAAGTACAAATAGATTTTTTAAAGAGTGTTACAATTGCAACATATTTTAGTCAAAGTATAGCTGATCTAGACTTGTACCCGTGTGTCTCACCTATGAGGGATAAATGATGTGCTTATTATTTGTACATTTCTGATATTTATAAAATTGGTATTATTTGTGATCCTCGCTTTAAAATTGAAAATTTTAAAATTCTAATTGACTATTACTACACTTGTTTTTTAGATGAAAATAATTATTACTACAATCATTTAATAGAATGCACAAAAGAAAAAGATAATGCTATTAATCTTTTTGACGCTTTATTTAAAAAATTTCAAGGAATATACGGTAATGCATCGGAAGAAACAACACCTCCTCCCCCCCCAAATCAAAAAAAGGTTTTAAAGGAATAGTCGGTGGGCTTTTGGCCAAAAAAGGTAACCGTGGTCAGCCTTCGACGAGTTCAGGTGGTACAACTGTAAGCTCGCACAACGAACTTGCTATGTACCAAGGGGTGCCATGCGATTACGACGACGATGACGACGTGGAGTTTGACTTCCTCGCATGGTGGAAGCGGAACGAACACATATTTCCATGTCTCGGAATGCTAGCGAGACAAGTTTTATCTGTCCCGGCATCAACCATAATAGTGGAACAAAAATTCAATTCTAGCGGCAACATTCTAACCGACTACCGAATCTGTCTTTGCGCTGAATCTCTTGAAACACTTGTTTGTAACCAAGATCGGCTCATGGCAAGACGTCGAGCTCAAGAGTCAGGGTACGAATTCAATTCTGAACATTACATGAATGTAAGACTAAAACATTGAAAATATATCAAAATAGGACTTCCATGTTTTTATTTTCTAAATAGGACTTACAATACCAAACATGGTCATGTACATTACCACAGTGCAAAGTTCTAGTTCGGGAAAAAAAGCATGAAAATCTTATTTTAATACTTTTCCTCTATGTTTTAGTCTTATATATTTAGTATGATTTTTTAGAAAATAGGCCAACCGCTAGAGGGGGGGTGAATAGTATTTAAAACAAAATCGCAGGAAATTAAAAACGAGAGCGATAAAGTAAAGAGCGTAAGGAAGGAGCACACCGAATTTTATCCTTGTTCACCACAACGTGTGGCTAATCCAGCCTTTCGAGAGACTCTCTCGAGTTACACTAACTCTGTTAAGCTTAAAGATGCTCAACAAACCGATACAACTTGAGAACTCGAGTCACACGAGCCTCAACGCCTTTGCTCGGAGATACCGCACTCCAAGACTTCTCACGAAGGAACGAAAGACTTCCTTCGAATAAAACTCAGGAATAAAACTCTCACAAAGAGTAGATATGAGTGAACTAATAAACGCTTAAGAACACGACAATTTCTTCAAGAATTGGCTCTCAAATAGCTAAGAAAAATTGGAATGCTTATGCAATGAAAGAGTATTGATATGTTGAAGAATTGTGTGTAAAATGAGAGGATTTGGGTGCCATTTTATAGCCTAAAATGGGATAAACCCGTTGCTAGAATTTCCA